TCGGAGAAACCCACAATAAAACCGGCCTTGTGCCATATTCGTTTCTCGTGGGTGAAATGATAAATACCGAACGGTGTTGAAAGTCTCTGACTGCGCACACCTTCTGTCGAACTCTCTGCATTAGCAGAGAGGAACCCAGACGAGGCTTTGCCGAAGGAAAGGTTTCGCCGGGGGGGAGGTAGATAGGTCCTGAACCCGTCCAATCGGCTTCAAAGGCTATATTTTTTGGCCGGGCCTCCGGGCTCGGAGAAACCCACAATAAAACCGGCCTTGTGCCATATTCGTTTCTCGTGGGTGAAATGATAAATACCGAACGGTGTTGAGAAGTCTCTGACTGCGCACACCTTCTGTCGAACTCTGCATTAGCAGAGAGGAACCCGGACGAGGCTTTGCCGAAGGAAAGGTTTCGCCAGGGGAGGTAGACAGGTCCTGAACCCGTCCAATCGGCTTCAAAGGCTATATTTTTTTGGCCGGGCCTCCGGGCTCGGAGAAACCCACAATAAAACCGGCCTTGTGCCATATTCGTTTCTCGTGGGTGAAATGATAAATACCGAACGGTGTTGAGAAGTCTCTGACTGCGCACACCTTCTGTCGAACTCTCTGCATTAGCAGAGAGGAACCCGGACGAGGCTTTGCCGAAGGGAAAGGTTTCGCCGGGGAGGTAGACAGGTCCTGAACCCGTCCAATCGGCTTCAAAGGCTATATTTTTGGCCGGGCCTCCGGGCTCGGAGAAACCCACAATAAAACCGGCCTTGTGCCATATTCGTTTCTCGTGGGTGAAATGATAAATACCGAACGGTGTTGAGAAGTCTCTGACTGCGCACACCTTCTGTCGAACTCTCTGCATTAGCAGAGAGGAACCCGGACGAGGCTTTGCCGAAGGGAAAGGTTTCGCCGGGGAGGTAGACAGGGCCTGAACCCGTCCAATCGGCTTCAAAGGCTATATTTTTGGCCGGGCCTACGGGCTCGGAGAAACCCACAATAAAACCGGCCTTGTGCCATATTCGGTCCTCGTGGGTGGAACGATAAATACTGAACGGTGTTGAGCGCGTCAGTCAAGATTCGGACATTTGAAGTACCAACCATCACAACTAGATTTGCTGCGTCATTGACTATTATTTTCCAAGTTCCTAACGTTTTGTACGTCGGACCAAATTTAGGACGACTCATTAGAAATACTAGCCTCCACTGTGAAAATACTCCACAACAGATAGGTAGATAGATATGAACAGATTGAAATAGATAGATATAAGCAGAATGACATAGATATATAGACAGATAGATATGGACAGACTGAGATAGATAGATAGATAGATAGATAGATAGATAGATAGATAGATAGATATGAACAAAACGAGATCGATTGCTGTGTCGATAGATAAACAGGGGCAGACTGATCAATAGATAGATGTAAAGAAACTGAAACTGTATATGAACAGACTGAAATCAATCGATATATATATATATATATATACATGATGAACATAGATGAACATATATATGATGAACATAGATATATGAAAAACAGAGGCATCTATGAACTACCTGAGCGTCTACACAAATATGGGTATCCACTAAAATAAAGTTTTAGTTGACAGAAAAGGTATTCAATAAAAAGAGACTTTACTTCATGAGAAATTACGTTGTTTACATTTTGGATACGAAACTGAAAAGTTATGAATTTTTGCAAATCTAAAAGAAGGTGGCACTTTTTAAGGGAATAAAGAAACTTGCTTAAGAGCGGCCCCGTTTGTAACCGAATTGGTTAAAGCGCGTCGGATCTAACGACACTTTCTCCTGCAACAGTTGCGCAGTTTCAAATTCTTCCATTGCACGCATTTTCTTTAATAAGATTTCTCAAAATTTCAAACCGGTAAATGAAATAAAATACCGCTTAAAATAAACGGAGCTTCTACTTAAATATGGGCATCCACCAAAAATAACTTTCAAAGTGCTAAAAATTTGTAGGCTTGATAAATAAAAATTCAATTATTTTATATATCGGTGTCCCTATATATATATATATATATATATATATATATATATATATAATGATGTCACGAAAACACGCTGTTACTTTTGTGATGTCAACGAATATTCGTTGCCACTTTCGTAATGCTCGTTGTCGTAGAGATACAACTATAGTAACGCCGTTGAACAATACTGGTGTCAGACGCCTTCGAATAGCACCCTCACTAATAGAACTTGATTGATAATACTCGCTTGAATAGTAACCACCGAATAGTGATCCGAATAGAAAAATAGTACCAACAAGGGATAGTAGAAGGAGTCAGGTACTTGCTGGAGTGGTACAAAGGTACAAAAGATATTTTCCAGCATCTTTAGCGATGGATCGGAAGTACGAGTTCCTCTTGAGGTCTACGCTGAGTTTAAGTCCTAATAGGAGCTCAAGGCACGAGCCACCGGACGAAACATCCGTTTATGGAGATTAGTATAAGTTCCGGGTCCGATCGGCGATGGTGAAATGACACTTGTTGGGTTTTCGAGACATTTCAATGTGACCAACCTGTTTTACCCCACATCTATCTATCTATCTATCTATCTATCTATCTATCTATCTATCACCCGTTTTAGGCTTATGATGCATTAAAATTTATATAACTTAAAATTATGATCCTAGAGTAAATATAAAATTTTAACGTCAAATAGAACTCAATATTAATCTCATTTTTTCGATATATTTTGAATGCATAATAATCTTAAATAAATTTAATCATAATCTAAAGATTTTTACAAGAACTAGAAAGAAATTTAGCCATAAAATATTTTGGCCTTTTAAATAAAACCGAAGTTAAACAACTTTGAGTCTGGTCAATACCTAGGTGAGTGACCGCTTTGGACTACGATATGCTCTAAGCTTGGATGTGTCGGTGGTGTGATGGATAACGGCTCAGGATGTGAAATGGAAGAGTCGATTTCGAATCTCAGTCAAGATCGTTACATTCACGTACACGCAAATATCCTTGGCTAAGGTATGAATCCATCTTTTCTCACACAAGCTATGGGTTAAATAGCTGGGTAGACTAGGTTTTATAGCTTTGATTGGCACCCATTCTAGCGCAGAAAGTAACGGCAGTCTGTTATCGAGTTGGACTCAGCACACTTCCTGCTCTTCCCTACTATTTTGACAATGGACTGCTCCTGTTTATAAATATGGCAAGTAGAGTCACATTTCCGTCCTATTTTGCGGGGATTTCATAAAGCTTTTCTTCTTTATTTTCCTCTACCCAGTTTTTTGTTCCTTCGGTTCCCACTCTAACAACGGTTTTCCTAATTCTCGGCTATTTTGAACAACATTACAACACTACTGCAAAGAATTCTTCTGCTAAATCAATCATCAAAGTAATTCAGATAGACAAAAATCTGGTTGTACGTCTAAATGATGACAACGCAATGAAAGAAAAATCGTTATTGAATCGAAGAGACAGCCGTGAAAACTGACCAACCAAATTCGAAATAATTTGAATTTCACAAGTATTGTGAATACAGACAACATCAAACGTTGTCTAGAATGAAAGAATATTTATGAAAGAATAAATTTAGTCAAATTTCTGCTGGAAAATCGAAGTTAACGGCAACACAAAGAAAATAAGAAAAAATATGCAGTGCACACCAAAAGTGTATTTTCTCAAAGACTCGACATACGGAACGGAAATTTTCCAAGTAGCGGACATTATGTAACAAGCTCTAAATACCGATTCAGCAAAAAGTTTAACGCAGTAATAGAGATAGATAGATAGATAGATAGATAGATAGATAGATAGATAGATATTAAGCAAACTTAGATAATGAATAAAATGAGACAGATAGATAGACAGATAATGAATATAGATAGCTACATAGCTAGATATAAACAGACTGAGATAGATAGATAGATAGATAGATAGATAGATAGATAGATAGATAGATAGATAGATAGATAGATATTAAACAAACTCAATAACGAATAAACTGAGATAGATATGATCACATTGAAATAGATAAATAATGAATGAAATAGATATTAAACAAACATAGATAGATAGATAGATAGATAGATAGATAGATAGATGTCTCTGGAGGTGTTAAAATTACTGTATTTTTGGTGACCTAATCTCATTGGTGGGCCTACATTCTAACGGTAACTTTGGCTAACCTCAAAGGGACTATAAAATACGGTTTCTGACAAAATAAAGCAAAATGCAGCATATTTGTATACAGTACATTTTACTTCGAATGAGTAGAATTATCATCACCCGAAGAATGTACTTGCATTATGTCCCGGAAATCCTGACAAACAATTGGCATTTGAAAGCCAATATCCCAAACATTTGCGAAACAAAGATGAATGCAAATTTGAGATAGGAAAAATCTATTAATTCTTCATTCATATGAGGATGTTTGTTAATTTTAAGTGGCATACATAATGGATAAGGTTATGCTGTTCTTCTAGAGACAAAAGGGAAGAGACTTGGTGAGCTCAAGATTAACCGTAGTCAGGCATGAACGAAAACAAAAATACGGTATTTAAGTTTTCGTAAAAGTTCCTTTACAGTAAGTCGTTTTTTTTTTCTCACCATTTTTGGGTAGCTTTGCACAAAAAGAATCATGTATTTTCTATAAAATATGCCCAGAATGATACCCTGTACTGCAATTTTTGACTACGGTAGATTTACTACAATGGTTCAAAGGCTGGGGGTTGCATTATACACGAGCTATATGAAAAAATCAGATTTTACACAACACATTTAGATGTCACACTATACACGACGTAAGCTTATATACAAATCTATATGGTATTATACAATATTGTTGGAATCCTCTCAAGACATAAATAAGTCCAGAGACTATTGACTCGCTTTGGGAGAGCAGCGTGGCTGAGTGAACAAATATTGATATTTCCTTTATTTTGAATTTATAGTCCTCATTACCGAAAAGAATTTTGGGTCTTTTAGAGAGTAAAGGAGTTAAAAGTAAATCCTAAATAATTATTGGACTTACAACTATATCACTTTGAAACACTGGTTCCCGTACGAGCACCGATGTTAAGCAATGTCGAGTATGGTCAGTATCTAGATGGGTGACCGCTTGGGAATACCAGGTGCTGTAAACTTGGATATGCGGGTGAGGTAATGATAATGGCCCTGAATTGTTAATCGGGGAGCCGAGTACCGATTCAAATTTCAGAAAAAAAGTCGGTTCACATTAAAAGAAGATGAAAGAACTGTAAATGAAAAAGCGACAATCAGAGAAAACAAGAAATTAATTTTTTTCTTGTTTATTATGGTCGATCGACTTAATGCTTCCAGACTTATAAATACTAATGTGATAAAGTGAAGACGATTTACCGATAAGGGCAAAATGCAATTAAATGGACCCAAATAAAACGTGAATGAGAATTTTGTACACTCTATTTAGAAGGAATTATTGGAAATTGTTAATAAAACCTGCTTCTTGTAGCAGACAGACAAAGCAGCTTTTATTCGTCTGTGGATCTTGGCGAGAACACTTTCGGGAGGATTTTTGAGTAACGTTCCTTTCTTTTTATGTGCCGTGTCCCTTCAGGACGTAGGCGATCATGGTTCTCCACTTCTCCCTATCTCTTGTAGCTCTCAATAAGTTTCGTCTCTCTGCCACCTTCCCCAGACCACGTTCTGTCATCCACTTTGTTAAGCCCGCCAGGTATATCATGCATTGCTTTCCCTTGTCTCTCTTTCCTTCTATTCGACCTGTGAATATCAGATTCTCCAGGCCCTTTTTTCTCATTACGTGTCCCAGAGATTTCAGCTGCCTCTTCCTGATGTTAAGTATAAGCTTCCTCCTTGTTTGCATTTCCCCCAAAACCTCATCGTTGCTCACACTCTCGGTCTATGATATCCCTAGCATCCTTCTGTAGAACCATACCTCCGTTGCCTCGAGTCTCTTCTTCATCTTTGAGGAGATCGTCCAACATTCGCTACTGTAAAGGAGGACAGATGTCACGTAGCAGTTCAATCCCCTTTTCTTTGTCACCAAAGAAATCCGCCTGTTTCGCAAGACTCTGCCCAGCTTTTGGAATGCGTAGTGAAGTGTAATCGCAATTCAAGATCTGTTGCGCTAATTGTGAACTAATGCCTTTAGGAAACTTATAACTCCATCTTTTCTTCCACGACTTACGGGGTGGATTGTTTTTTTTTTTTAGCTTTCTGTAGCAACCAACAAGGGAGAAGCATTATTCTAAATTCAAAAGCCGTGGTGCAGTCAAAAAAATCCATTCAACTATGTGATCATAAAATAAGTACATCCTATCTCCCCTTCGCTTGTAACCAAACATCACAATAAAATACAACATTGGTATGACGTTAACCGACGTCCAGCAGCAAGGCCTCTGATCAGGAGGTTTTGAGGAACGTGGAACCACCTCTTAATTGCTGGTGTTCCCAGGTCCACCCTGTCCCATGGTGGTAGCACCTGTTAGGGTTCCAGCTATGGGCAAATAGTTAACTATTACCAGCAATACTTTTTTGAAAAAAAATTATTACCGGCAATACAATTTTGAAGGAAATATATTACCAGAAACAGATTTTTGACAAAACAAAATATTAAATTTTTGTCAGCATTAAATAAACCATTGAGGTTGATATGCTGTAAAACAAAATAAACCAAACCAATCTAAACCAAAGAATACATACTCTATTCATACGAATCTATCCTAAAAATGTTGCCGGCATTAAATAACCCATTGAGGTTGATATGCCATAAAACAAAATAAACCAAACCAATCTAAACCAAAGAATACATATTCTATTCATATGAATCTATCCTAAAAATGTTGTCGGCATTAAATAACCCATTGAGGTTGATATGCCGTAAAACAAAATAAACCAAACCAATCTAAACCAAAGAATACATACTCTATTCATACGAATCTATCCTAAAAATGTTGTCGGCATTAAATAACCCATTGAGGTTGATATGCCATAAAACAAAATAAACCAAACCAATCTAAACCAAATAATACATATTCTATTCATACGAATCTTTCCTAAAAATGTTGTCGGCATTACATAACCCATTGAGGTTGATATGCCGTAAAACAAAATAAACCAAACCAATCTAAACCAAATAATACATATTCTATTCATATGAATCTATCCTAAAAATGTTGTCGGCATTAAATAACCCATTGAGGTTGATATGCTGTAAAACAAAATAAATCAAACCAATCTAAACCAAAGAATACATACTCTATTCATACGAATCCATCCTAAAAATGTCAGCATTAAATAACCCATTAAGGTTGATATACCGTTAAACAAAATAAACCAAACCAAAATAAAATAAAAAATGTTTTTCAGCACTAAAGCATTATGAGTAAAATAAAACTTCATAAGCTTCTACTTGAAGTTGTTATTACAAACTATATTTTCCAATAAGGCATGACATGTCGCAGATGTTAAAAAGAAATTAAAATTGTGGAGGGAAATGGCGTTAAAATAACATCGCCTCCATTTCTACTATTTTCTTTTGGGATATTTATTGTATATTTCATATACAGAAATCTTTTTTTCTTTTATACAGATTTTCAGCCGCACGTTTCTCTGTCAAAATCTGATACCTCTGCTCTTTGTTCTCACTCACGTTTCTCACTTTTTCCGATAAAACCTGGATAAAATCTGTCGAGTTTTTCTATTATCTCTTTTCTCAATATCTTCGCTCAGAGCCAAATGTTTTCCTTTCTACTGTCTTCTTTCAAGTCTCAATCTCTAATATCTTTTCTTTATTCTAAATGTTTTTTCTGACTCACTATCTTGTATCTTTTAAACTTTCTGAATTCCTTAGTGATGATAGCAGACACAGAAAGAAAACTACAAAAAATCCTACATAAAGTAGTGAAGGAAAGCGAGAAGAAATGATTAAATATCAAATCTAAGAAGAGAGAGTGTGTGGTTATTAGCAAAAGGATGACCCTAGAGTGTGAATTGTAAATCCGAAGGCGTATTGGAATAGCACACAAAGGTGCCTTCCAAACGCTAAGCAGAGTATTATGAAATAGAAAAACTTCGCTAGAAACAAGGAAAAGAGTACTGAACATGATATCTGCCCTACTATATGGCAGCAAATGCTGGACAATTTCCTCACAGATGAAAAATAGATTTGAAGCAACAGAAATTTGGTTCTACTGAAGAATTCTGAAGATAACATGAACCGAATATGTGAGCAACGACGAAATTTTAGAGAATATTGAAACAAAAAGGAAAAAATACTTTTAACACCAGGAAGAGACAGTTGACGTTTCTAGGACACATAATGAGGAAGGAGGGCTTGGAAAATCTGATACTCACAGGACAGATTGAATGCGAGAGAGAGAGAGAGAGAGAGAGAGAGAGAGGGTGAACAATGCATAACATAGTGAGCTTCAGTAAATGGATGGTGAAAGGAGAAATAACAAAAAGATGAAATTTATTAAGAGCTGCAAGGGACAGAACGTTGTGGAGAGCCATGATCACCTCCATCCTGAGGTGACACGGCACTTCTTCTTTCTTTCTCAAATCCACTCTTTTATATTTTTCTGCATTCTGAGCTCCTCTCCTAACTCCTCTTTCTCCTCTCTCGCTCTCTCTTTTTACTGCTTTCCTCTCTCTCTCTCTCTTTCTCTCTTCTCTCTTTTTCTCTCACTCTTCTCTCCTCTCTCTCTTCTCTTTCTCTCTTCTCACTCTCTTATCTTCTCTATCTTCTCTTCTCTCTATGCCTCTCCTCGCTCTCTCTCTTCTCTCTTTCCTCTCTGTCTCTCTCCTCGCTCTGTCTTTTCTCTCTTCTCTATCTCTCTCTCTCGCCTATCTTCTCTTTCTTCTCCTCTCTCTTCTCTCTCTTCTCTTTTTCTCCTCTCTATCTCTCTCCTCTTTCTCTTCTCTCTCTCTTCTATCTCTCTCTTCTATCTATTCTCTCTCGATTTCATCTTCCTCTCTCCTATCTCTTTCCTCTCTCTTATCTCTCTCTTTTCTCTCTCTTCTCTCTCTCTCTTCTCTCTGTATTCCCTCTCTCTTCTCTCTTTTCTCTCTCTTCTCTCTCCTTCTTCTTCTTCTCTCTCTCTTCTCTCGGTATTCCCCCCTCTCTCTCTCTCGCTTATTTTTAATGTCATATCCATTCAGGATATCGCGGCCATAACACTTCACAATTTCTTTTCTTTTCCTAATCTGTGAATTGTCATGACTTCTTGAGAAAGAAACGTCGACTTGTTTCCCATCACCGACTCCATGGTTTTCCTATTCAGAATCGTCTTTTAGACCATCTACCACCCAAGCTAGTCAGTCTACCCTGCAATTTAACTCATAGCATAGTGGCAGCGATACGTGCTTTTTCCTAGAGGCATTTGTGCAAAAGTGAAACGCAGCAGACTCGGTCAAAACTGGAACTCGGTTTATTGATTCCACTTTCGACACCGGTAACCGTGACGCTACCCACCGTTTACTTTCTTCTAAAAGTCGAACTTAGTAGTCGACTACCTGGCTGACTCATTGGATTTTATTGAATCTTTCTTAGAATCTTTCCTTTCTTTTTTGAAAAAGTTCTTTCTTTGGGCGTTAATGCATTCATTATATTTTCTTCTTTACAAGAAAAACACCGATATCAGCTGCAATATTAAAATAATGGGGATAAATTAATGGGGATAAATTAATGGGGGATAAATTAGTGGGGAATAAATTAATGGGGGAAAAATTAGTGGGGAATAAATTAATGGGAATAAATTAATGGGAATAAATTAATGAGTGTTAAATTAATGGGAATAAATTAATGGGGGATAAATTAATGGGAATAAATTAATGGGGGATAAATTAATGGGAATAATGGGGGATAAATTATTCGGAAAAAATAATAGGAATAAAGTTATCATATAAAATGAAGTTATTAGGAGAAATGAAATTTTATCTGCCTTTTACAAAACTCGTCAATATTTTCCATTGCATTGAATAAGTGGGAAATCGAAATAGAATTAAACTAAAGATTTGAATATACCAAAAAAGAAAAAAAAGCCTGAGAAGATATGACGATAATATGACAAGGAAATCAACATTTTGAAGAAATCATTGAAGCGAAAAACAAAACATATCGGAGAATGTGAAGAATGTCAAATACTGAACGTCATGGCGAAATTCTCTTGGGATGATCTTGTTCCAAAATGACACAACTGCACCAAATGAATGGTTGAAGTTTCGTTCAAGTCAAAGCATAAAATATTTGCTCCAAAGAAGTCGGAAAAATACGCTTTCCGATAAACTGGCACCCAACTAAACCCCTCCCCCAACATCGAGCTAAACGCACTCATACACATATATACACGCACGCACATATGTAGTTGTATATTTGGGCAGCAAGCCCTCTTTAATACACGTTTTGTTGAAAAAAGAACTGACAAGGCGCTTTTGTTTTTTTTTTTTTTTTATTGTCTTTTTTCTTGTATATGTGCAGGTGTTTTTTTTTCTGGATTTAATGAATGTAAAATTTCTCTAAAAGGTTTCGAGTGCTTCGACTAAACTGTTCGCCATATTCAAGGTTTATTTTGTTTTGTTGTATTACTATAATAAATGCTATGTAAGTGCTATTGTTGCTGATATAACTTAAGTTGCTGATAAAGATATATTCTTGCTATTCAAATACGACAAGTATATTGTGGCTTTGTTCATAATTAATCTCGTTATGGTTTGCTAGAATGTTTCTTTTTAATTTTTTATTATAAGATCTCCCCATCACGCTTTTTGCAGTATTATATTTGGTGCGATTCCATACGTGTTTAAATGCGTCCGTATTGAGCTCTGGTCGGAGAGGTGTAGCATCAGCCGTCTACAGAGATGGGTGGTGATTTGGCTAACATAATTATTTATGGGTTTGTTTTCGTCGGTAACGCAGTTTTTTATGGTGCATCTAAATGAATAAATAATGTTTAGTAATATAGATACAGCCTGTCCGCGGAAAGAAGATGTGATCGGTTTATTTTCAAATGCTATAAACAACAACAACAACAATAACAACGCAACAACAACAATAATGAAGTCACAACAATGACAATATCAGCCGTTTCCTTATAAGGAAACATTCGGCATCCATTGACCGAGCAGCAATTGCTACTTGAGTTACTCTTTTCTTCACTCACTGGTCATAGTGCTAAAATCAAAATGTAGTACCTGTTCTCCTCTTCTCTAATGCTAATAGTAATACCAGCCGTTTTCTTATAAGGAAACATTCGGTATTCAGTTTCCAAGCAGCTACTTCTCGATTGAAAATTATGAAATCATTTTAAAAAAAATGTTTAACTGTTATTAATCTTTCCAGTATTGATGGGGGAAGGCTTTTCTAACTTTTGTTTGATGTAGCGAGGCACATCAACATCAAGTTTATGTCTGTTAATTTCTGTTTGAATTACATTTGCTATCCAGTTTAGTGTCTTCTGTTATTAAATGTCCTCAAGAGATTTGGCTTCATGTTTGGTACCGTATTTTGTTTAAAATTCTGCAGCACCAGTGCACGAGGAATGCTCAGCTATAAGACATACAGGCTTCATTAAGTCCTAACCATTTTTATTAAGTGATTTGAAAATAGCGGTTGTATACAGCTTAGAGAGTTAACATAATTCTGAATTAGTTTGTCGCCATGCTTGTAAATGTATACAAGAAACAAGTTTAGAGTAACGGCAGTGGCGATTCTGGAACTCTGAAAGTGTTGGGAGCACTTGTAAGGGTGGAGATTTTTCTGTGGAAGAGGTGGGAGAAAAATTCAAGCAGCGTCTTTATTTTCATACTACCCCACTATCGTATACACAACTTAGGAATGAGTTTTAGTATAATTATGTTACTTCACTAAATTAAACAGAATCACTTATCATTCATAGTAGTGAAGTTCTAATCTATTCTTGCCTTCTTTTCTACTCTCAAGCTGTTGGACCACAAGAGAGGGGTTAACTTCAAAACAAAATCAAAGGATTAATACTAACGTCAATACTAGCAGAACAGTGTATTTTGTCTGCTCTGATTTTTTCCTCTACAAAACTTAGAAAAGTGTGGCGGGGGGGGCAGCCAAAATTCTGGGTGGGCATTGGCCTCTTCTGCCCCACCCCGTAGAATCACGACTGAGTAACGGACAATATAAAGTGAAATTCCTTTTTTTGAAATTTACTGATTTGTCGCAGAGCAGAAAAACTGGAGAAAGTTTGTCTTGCTCCTAGTTTTTTACTAGGAGGGCATGAACGATGATAAATATGTAGACATTCTGAACACGGCGTATTTAGATGGTCACAGGATCAAATGGGGGTAAAGGCAAATGAGATTCTTCTGGGCTAATTTTAAGTTTTGGACGCCTGTCTGGTTGTCAGTGTTTTAAAATAAAAATTGGTTTGACCTGGGCTTGAACCAATAAGAAACAGTCAGTTATCTCAACAATGAAGCAGGTCGTTAAACTGCTTTTCCATGTCAATAGTTCAACGAGCAGATATAACTGAAGTAAAACAAATGAAATGCATCGGTGGCTAACATAAAAACTAATGAGAGCAAAAGATAAGCAACAGAGATAAGTTTTGTTGGAGTAAAAAGATTATGGATGGCTACAGGAAGTGGGTAGACGAGGATGACCGTATGCGATACAGATAAGAGTTGGAATGAAATCGGTTGGAGACGATTTCGTGATATGCTCCAGTGAACAAACGAACCCAGTTGCTGATGAAAGACAAAGAATATCTACTGAATACAGAATTAATTTACTTTGTTCATTCTCAAATCGAATGAAATGGCTAATGAAATGGCAATAAAAAACGGAAAGTAAATAAATTCACGCTTAAAATGATAATAGCCTAAGCGTAATTGCGAAATTTTGTTGGTTTTACACGATGAAAAGGCGGGGATATTTTGGTAGAAAATTCGATCAAAAATATTAGATTATGTTATTTATTTTTGAATTCAAGATGAAATCATGTTCTTCAACAGTTATTCTGGTGTTGTGATTGGATTCCATCTAGGGATCTAGATCAGCGTTTTCTCTATAGACAGGCCGTAAATAAACTAAGTGGCGCATCTCATATCCAAAATAAAATTAAAAAAACGAACAAACAAAATGAGAGACAAAAGAAATATTTTTATTATGAAATCAAACAATCCATGAAATGAACATTTCTAACAGATGAGCCTCCGTTGTCAATGCAAATTAGCAAGCTTTCATGCAAACGTCGAAAAGGATTATTGACGCATTTCAGCAGTTAGCTGAAGTGAATTGTTGAAGGGAATTTTTCAAATCCTGAAGTGCTTCAGTTTTTTTTGTAAAATTTTCTTAAAATGTCCCTAAAAAAAATAAAAATCTAAATGTGTGATATCAGGGGTAAGTGGGATATGCTGTTTCTGAAGAAGTACTGGATTTTTTATTTTTTCATCCGTCAGTTTTTTATCTCTTTAAACGTCATTTTTAGGGGATATCCATATTTGATTAGATACACCGGTTATTTTAAACAGTATATTTATTTGTGGCTACCGGCTTGAATATAGACAAATGCGCCCTCCTTTAGCATTCGAACCTGCATCCCCTTTGTAGGAGAAAATGGCGTTAGATCCGACATAATTACATCGAGTCGGGCTGGAAGGGCGTCACCAATAAAGCAAATCTGAATATTGTCTTTGAGTGCCGACCCGTCTCGTCCCAGATGCTTGAAAGTTCATATCTTCTCAGTTTTGTATCCAACCGTAAACAAAGTAATTTTCTAAAGAAGTAATGGATTTTTATTTAATAACCCGACAAATTTTATCATAAAGCGATAAAATTTGTTCTGTATTTTTCTTCCAAAGTGAACTTCGGATACTTTCTCACGGAATTTCCTCTTTGTCAGAAAAAGATTATTCTGAATTTGGAAAAGTCGATCATTAAAATTAATCGTCACAAAATGTCTACTGTTTTTACATACAGGGTCACTCGTATTCGAGGATACCCGTCTACTAGGTCGGCTAGCCAATCCTTATTGCAGATGCTCGCTCAGGCACATTTGTGTTCACTCAATACCCACAGAGCCCGTCTGTTGTTTACACTGCAACTGTACTGAGTAGACCATAGTTACATTTAGTTACTGGGAGTGAGCGTGATCAACAATTTGAACAAGGCCAGCACGCTCAAGCCCTCGGCGACGATGACTTGTGGCTTCGTCCTAGTACAGCTATCGACGGCCCACAAGAGTTCCGTCTACCCAATTTCACTCACAAGGTTTGGGTTAACCCATGGCATGGTTTTCAGGGCACTTTCTAAAGATGCCGCACACTGGGATCGACCTTGACCCAGTCCGATAACATCAGGAAGTCTCCTTCCTGATAAATCTACCATGGTGAGATTCAAACCCGGGTCTCATGGTAAAAAATGACGCCGAAATGCTAGAGTCCTAACGATTGCATCTAGCATGAAACAGACTGACGCTTCTAAGTGTTGACTTCTATGTTCACTTTTATATTTAAACAGGCTCTATCTCTGATATTGAGCACTTTATCCCATAAATACAGCACACTTTAAGACTATATTTCTTCATTCATATATATATATATATATATATATATATATATATATATATATATATATATATATATATATATATGGGTATTTGACTTCAAGGACATTTGCTGCCTAAATACACAGAATATATGAGAGTGAGAAAGAGTGTAAGAGAAAGAACGAAAGTGTGAAAGGAAGAGTGGTATAAAAGTAGAGGAGAAAAGACAGTGAGAGAGAAAGAGGGAAAGAAAAAAGAGAAAAAACTGCGAGAGAAATAAAGATAGCTGCTGGAATGAGGAGTTTCCATTATCTACTTTATTTACATTCAGACTCATATTCCTATGGTTTTGCCATTATCACAACCGTTCGGCCGTTGCGCCCTCCGACCTTCTTCAGGTGTCTGCTGATCAGGGTCAGCTGCAAGTTAATTTGCAACCGAAACCATTATTTAATCTACGGAGATAAATTGTTCTCGTTTCGGAGTTCAGGTCTCGTGATATCTCATCTTGTTATGAGGAAGAGAAAGCAAGAGGTAGTAGTCGAGAAAGAAAGAAAGAGGGAATGAGAGAGAAGGAGAACAAATATGTGAAAGAAAAGAAACTGTGAGAAAAAGTCGTAGAGAAAGAGAGGTTGTGAGAGAGAGAAAAGTTTTGTGAAGAGATAGTTTAAGAGGAAGAGAGAGTGTGTGCGTGAGATGAAGAGTGTAAGAGAAAGAGAAGTAGAGAGATCTTAGTAAACTGAAGAAAAAGTATATTAAAAACAAAAATTGATATGACAATGGACAAAAACGCGACAAAAACCAGATCGAGTTGACAAACACAAGAGAAATTAACTGGTAAGAGGGCCGCCGGGATTAGTTAATCGATATCAGATTTTTGATCAGATAAATATAAGATTTATCTACACGAAAAATTACTTATATCATTTATAAAAAAATATATAGTACTACTCAGTCATTGCTCGTCCTGTTTTCACTTAGTCTAAGTCAGTACAATCAAACCCAGGGATTGAACACATGAATTACTATGTTGCCCGAATTCAACCCTTTGCAGGTTATTTAAAGCCAGAAAATATTTTTAAGTTGTAAGAATTTTCTTTTTAGATAATAATAATTTAGTGATACAAGTGTGTGTGAGAGAGAGAGAGAGAGAGAGCGAAAGAAAGGACGAGGCTGTGAGAGATAAGATATCGAAAGATAGTAGTCACGAAAGAAAGAGAGAATGAAAGCGATAGAGAATAAAGGCGTGAAAGAAAGGAGACTGAGAAAAAAACGTCTTAGAGAAAGAGAGGTTGTGAGAGAGAAAAAGTGGGGAAAGAGATAGCTGGGAAAAGAGGCAGATTCATACCTTTTACAAGTGAATATAACGAACCCAACTGGAATTAGAACTTTGCTCTCCTATTAACAATTCCGAGTTATTATTCATTACATCACCCGTACATGCAAGAATTCATCACCTAGTCTTCCCAAGCGGTCACCCATCAGGCTCGACGTTGCTTAACATCGATGATCGTACGTGAACTATTCAACTGCGAGGAAATTATCCAAAATCGCTCTAGAAAATACACACTATGGACAATTTCTCCATACACTTCGTCCTGATGAGACAAAATTCTACTTGAATCGGAAATTGACCTCTTCACCTATTTCTTCTAACTTTTAATTTTAGTGTCTCCGACCTGCAAATCGCATTTTGGGCGATTTTTACTGATGATCATGAAGGAAAAACTGAAGTCTTAAACCAGACAGGAGAGGCTATTTTGCATAGGAAACACCTGTGCTACCCCGACTGCAATACATGTGATGCCCTTACCACCCTTAATTTATTTACGGAACTTGTAATCGCTATTTTGATCAACAGAGACATGTTTCCTTTGTGTGTTCGCAGGCATATTGCAAATAAAGATTTCTAACTGTTTGTGTTGACACCTCAGGCGCGATATTTACTCTGATCTCTTCTTCAAAGGCTGTGTGATCTGCTGCTGCTGTAGTCTTTGAAATATGCTGATCATTGCTAGCATCTTTGTGTTTGATTGGTCATTAGATTACTGCTGCCACAGTAAAGTAGTACCAATGTTTCACGTCCAGCGAACGCTGCATTTTTCAAGTAATTTTTCAAGTAATCCAACCCCTCCGAATGCCTACAGTCAGAGCTATTCAGACAGCTCTAATTGAGCCTATGTTACACCATCTTGTACTGAACACTTTGACCAAAATGCACCTTCTTTCAGCATGTGACAATGCCTAGTGTTCAGGCATAGACAGTGCATTATTATGAGGGTTAATAGGTCAGAAGATCATATTATCTATCTATCTATCTATCTATCTATCTATCTATCTATTTCAGTCTGTATCTGTCTATATTTCTGAGATGAGGTATTGTGTACACTATTTACATTATTCGGACTATCGTCCTCATTTTTGTTGCCATATTTATCACAACGTTTCGGCCGTTGTACGCTCCGGCCTGCTTCAACGCCTTTATCCACTGTGCCATGTGTCATTAATGACACATGGCACAGTGGATAAAGGCGTTGGTTAGAACCAGTGACAGGACCCAAAGAGTTGTGAGTTCAATACCTGGTTAAGGCAGTGGAGAACTTGGAGAGGTGAATTAACATGAGATAACTGATAACTGATATCCATTAGACATGGCACGTGGAACTAGAACAGTTTATCCCAGCGAGCGACATAAAGGATTCAGTTCGACATTTCAACTACCCGAAGAAGGTCGGAGCTTACAACGGTCGAAACGTTGTGATAAATATAGCAACAAAGATGAGGACAATAGTCTGAATAATGTAAATAGTGTCTATTTCAGTCTGTTCATATCTGTCTGTTTATCTATTTTAGTCTGTTCATATCTATCTATCTATCTATCTATCTATCTATCTATCTATCTATCTATCATAACCTCACTATTCTAAGGTTATTGTTATGACACACTCTTACTTACATAACGTAGTTCGTATAAGGATTTTCTATACGTAATGCTCCGGTTACTGTACCGTGACGCCTGTATTAGTCTGAAGACTGACTCCAAACAGGTAAGTATTTACACATGCCTCCCCCCCACTTAGAAGGGATGCAACACAAGGTCAGGCTTACCGTGGAGAATCCGAACGCGTACATTCGAGCCGCTGGTCAAAAATTTATCCATTCCCTGCAACAGCATGGAACGAGCAATTTGTTTGTTTAGCTGAATCTCTATCCGTAGACAGAGCCCCGACTGAGTCATCCTCTGCCTGGAGACAAAGAACTAATCGCGGGCCAGACAACATACTGTGTGACTCAAAACGACTAGGTATTTATCTATACACCTCACTTAGACGGGATGCGACATTAGATCAGGATTAACGTGGGAAATCCGAGCAACTCGTTCAAAATTTACCCCATTACCCACAATTGCGAGGAAAGGGTGGTTTTTTTGTCTGTTTTTCTCCGCCGAGTCTCTATCCGTAGGCAGAATATCGACTGCCCTCTGACCAAGTAGAAATGTCTTTTCAGCTGCAACCCAAACATTGAACTGCCTGAGAATGAGATGTAACACAAGGTCGAGATTTCTGTGGGGAACCCGAGTGTTTCCAATTGGACCATTGGTTCAAATGGAAACACTCGGTTCAAATTTGCCCAGCATCTACATTCGCGGGATCAGGTACAACTGCTGTCCTTTTCTCAGCCCAATCTCCGCCCGTAGACAGAACCCCGACTGAGTAACCATCTGCTCGGAGACAGAGATCTTGTCAGTCGCAAGTCAGACATCGAACCGCCTCACGCAAAACTACTACCAGTCATATTTCTGACTAGGTGCGATTTATAGTAATGGACTACTTCATATAGTCACTATTTCATATCTATCTATCTATCTATCTATCTATCTATCTATTTCAGTCTGTTCGTATCTATAAATGTATGATGAAATGCTAATGATCCATGCTAAGAAAAGTTTCGATTCTGAGAAGTGGTGTCTTAAGGAGAGCTTTTTTTTAGTACAGGCGATTGTGTATCTGTACATATCTGAGAAACATCTGTCCAGTTAGTGTTGCAGATGTGAAGCCAGAGCCGGTTTCAAATCCCAGCTTAATTTGTTGTGATCACTTTCGCACTAATACCCTTGGGCAACTAAGTACCTTCTGCCTCCCGCAGTGGGTTAATTATCAGTGTGTACTGAATCCTGGAGCCGTGACTGGTTGTCTATTCTGAATTTAACTCAGTGGACAAACGTGGGGAATACTCCGCCATCTTTCCAAAGAAATCTTGTCAGATAATCAAGAAATAGAACAGGTGGCGAAACATGATTGCTAACGTTATATATAGCAATAAAATATCTATCTATCTATCTGGTTCATATTTTAAATTATGGCAATGTCTTTATTATCTCGCTCTGTCCTTATATACATACATACATACATACATACATACATACATATATATATATATATATATATATATATATATATATATATATATATATATATATATATATATATATATATATATATATATATATATATATATAGACATAGACATATATATATATATATATGAAGATTATATTGAATCAATTGCTATGTTTGTTGCGTAGAAAGTTGGTCCACTGTGTCGTGTTCTACCTTTTATTTTTCTCTCTAGAATCTATTGAAATATTTATAGGTATACCATTGATCCATATTTGGAATATTGCTGCCACATATTGTCTGGTGCTTCTGCTATATATTTTTTTGAGTTTTGATAAAATCCAAAGAAAAATCAGTAATATTAATGTTCCTGACCTGGCATCTCGGCTTCAGTCCAATTCCCACCATCATAACGTAGTTTCCCTGTATCTTTTCTATAAATGAATTCATGATAATAGTTCTGATAAACTTTCCGCTATGGTATCTAGCAAATTTAAACGCAGTACTAGATTGGCAGTTTGGTCTCATCATTTCACAGTTGAAATGACTAGATGTAACCGTAAGTTCTATGCTGACAGTTTCTTCTCTTGCATATCTCGCATGTGGAACTCTCTTCCGTCTTCTTAATTTTATTTAATAGCAATGTCAATCATTATCTCCTGACTTTGATTCCTCTTCCTTTATTGCACTCGCTTCTTAATAATGTCTTTCCTTTTACTTATTCTTTCACGCTCAGTAACCCCTTGTGTCTGAGTGTCTTCATTGCCTTGCTTTGGATGAAATGATTAAAAAATATGTATGGCATATGGTAACACAGAAGCCCATCCATGTAGGAGATGCAGACATTTTGATCTAAAGGCCGTACACAGTGATTATTATTTACTCCCATTGTGACAAGAATCAGAAGCACTTGATAACTCAGTTTGTCATTCATAGTCACATTAAACTGACCCTACATCAGCCATAAAGTCCAGACACACAATTGTGAGCAGATTATCACCTTTGGTCGTGGTATCCACCCACCAATTCGATTTATATCCGTGCCACAATGAAATCCGCATGATTTTCTCGGCTCTCGACCTTGTTTCGTGTGCGTTGCACTAATATGAATTTATACAATTATTTAACCTTTAAGCTTAACCCTGGGGTATCTTGGAAGGGGGGGTCAGGTTACGACGGTGGAGGAACAATTGCAGTGGGGACAAGAACAGATTTTTTTTTGTATTTTTTACACTTTCTTTTTTGACAAATTCTCATATATATATATTTGCTTATCTTATTGTAGACAAAACGGAAAGAGAAGAGAAAAAAACAGAAGAAAAAAAATAGTGTTGCGAATTGGGGACTCACTAAGTCAATTAGTGACATTTTTCGCCCCCTTTCTCGCTTTTTTGTTTCTCTTTCACGTTCCTCCAACACCCCCCACCCTTTCACTTCAGATCTCTTTCTATCACGTTTTCATTCATAGTTCTCTCATTCATTTATATTTTCTCACCGTTTCCCTTCTTCCCATTCTTACACTTCCTTTTACTTTCATTTTCTTTCTTTTTCTTTCTGTCTTTAATTCTTTTTCTCATTTTCTGTCATTTTCTCTTTCATTCTACTTCTTTCTTTCTTTCTTTCTTTCTTTCTTTCTTTCTTTCTTTCTTTCTTTCTTTCATTCATTCTTTCGCTTTCTCTCTTCTTTTGTTATTTCATTTACACTATCTCTTGTTCTTACTTTCTTTCATTTTTCTTTTCTGGCTTGTACTTTCTTCCTCTCTGTTTCATTTTGTTTGTCACGTTCTTACTTTCCTTCTCTCTCTGTTTCTTTTTCCTTTTTTATTTCTTTTTTTCACTTTGCTTTTCTAGCTTTTACTTTCTTCCTCTCTCTGTTTCTTTCCCCTTTCTTTCTTTCTTTCTTTCTTTCTTTCTTTCTTTCTTTCTTTCTTTGTCCATACTTCCTTTCAGCATTAATTCTTTCTTTCTTTCTTTTTTTCTTTGTCCATACTTCCTTTCAGCATTAATTCTTTCTTTCTTTCTTTCTTTCTTTCTTTCTTTCTTTGTCCATACTTCCTTTCAGCATTAATTCTTTCTTTCTTTCTTTCTTTCTTTCTTTCTTTCTTTCTTTCTTTCTTTCTTTGTCCATACTTCCTTTCAGCATTAATTCTTTCTATTCTTTCTTTCTTTCTTTCTTTCTTTCTTTCTTTCTTTGTCCATACTTCCTTTCAGCATTAATTCTTTCTTTCTTTCTTTCTTTCTTTCTTTCTTTCTTTCTTTCTTTCTTTCTTTCTTTCTTTCTTTCTTTGTCCATACTTCCTTTCAGCATTAATTCTTTCTTTCTTTCTTTCTTTCTTTCTTTCTTTCTTTCTTTCTTTCTTTCTTTCTCTTGATCTCTCACATTCTCTCCCTCTTTTACTTTTTTTCAGTCACACATTCCACCGTCCCCACTACTCGCTATGATTTTCTTTTCTTGCATTTTCATCTCTTTTATCTGATCATCTTTCTCACTTTTTTCTTTTCTCTATCTCTTTTTCCATTTCCCCTATTTTTCTTTCAACCCCCCTCCCGCCCTTAGTGTTCTGTTCTCTTTCTCTCCTTTCTGTCTATCTTTCTTTCATTTACTTACTTTCTTTCTTTTTCTCTCTTTCGTTTTCTTTCACTTTCTCTTTTTTGGCCTTTCTTTCCTTTTCTCCTCTCCTTCTTTCGCCTTTCGCTTATTCTCGCTATCTTCTATTCTTTTTCCTACTTTCTCTCTCTCTCTCTCTCTCTCTCATTTCCCCCCTCTCTCTCTTCCCGAAGTCATTTTCCTGTTTTTTTGTTTTTTTTTCTTCTTCTGTCGGCGCAAATCTCTTCACATTTGTTTCGTAGCATTTCCAGGCATTTCGAAACTCAATGACGCATATGAACCAAAAAAGCAGAGGCATAAATAAATGTTTGTCTATAAATTAAATTAATTTAATGAATCTGACAACAAAAGGATCATTTTTAAGTAGAAACATGGAGATCTCATGTGGTATAAATGTAAACTTTTTGTACAAAAAGTAATGTTTTAAGTTATTTCAATGATTTTGGAGACAGAATATATATCGATAAAGTTTGAAGCAAGATTATCTTCTCATGTTATGTAGATATTCAAGTGAAGTAGATTTCATTTCGAGCACGCATTTTTATTTAAATATAATATAAATATTCATTTATTTTGGATGATAGACGGATGAGAAAGTGGAAAAATGTTGATATGCGATGTGTTACGTCCTTCATGACTTTATCGAACTAAGTTTTCATAAAATTTCCCCTAAAATTATACTTTAATATATAAACATTTGTATAGCGTTATATTTATTGAAAGTGGGGCAACAAATTTCCTATTTCAATTCCCTGGAGTTCCGTGTGAGTATTTGTATGTGTGTGTGCGAATGTATATATAAAAGGCTGTTCTTCTGGTCCAGATCCAAATAAAAGGCGATGCCACACTGCTCAAAAGCTGGTGTTAGGTTACTTGGTTGAAATAAAACACTGCTATCTCTGTTTCTATCTTTGTTTCTCTCTCTCTCAAATATATATATATATATATATATATATATATATATATATATACTGTATCTTATACGGAACCGTCATTGAGCTTGACGTGCATTAACCGATTTGGCTACAGAGGAGCGTTCGGTTAGCAAGGTCTTTAAACTAAAGGCGTATAGGATAGAGGTGAAAATTTCACGGACATTCAAGCCGGTAAATGTTGTTTAATACTGTTTATGTTAAACAGAGCATTTACTTAAATATTTGTATCTATAAAAAGAATATATAAACATAAAAATGTCTTAAAATAATTGTCGGACTTTGTACATTTCATAATATATATATATATATATATATATATATATATATGTTGATCAACACAAAAACTGACCAAAATTAACGGTAAAAAAAAGGAAAACTACAGATAAAGTTCATTCTCTTAAAAAACCGCCATTCACTCCTGTAGTTCACTGCTACTAACAAGCAGAAATATTTTTCTTTTGATGATTGCCATGTTGGCCGAAATTAGTCGAGCAGCCTAACTGAAATAACAAAACAAAAAATATTAATATACAACCCAGTGTGGCTGAAAAATTCATTTTTAATATTTTTTTATTGTTCAAAACAGCCCTACGAATTTACTGATCTACCTTTGCAGAGATTTTCCAAGCGTAGCTTAGATGTGGCACAAGGTCGAAAGAATGGGGCACCCAGTGAGGATCGAACACACTACTCATTTGTAATTGTGCTAGCGAGACAAGCTTGCTAACCATTATACCACCTCGGGGTACCTTTATCTACCTTTGTATGAACGTATGTATGTTTCTCACTACATCCATTCGAGCACCCCCTAGACACAAAAATACAAATACGTGTGTGCATGAATGTGTGTTCAAAGGAGGGGCGCTGTGTAATTACATTGACTAAGATGTTGAAGAATCTTTAACTGCTCTTCCTCAGGTGTATATCGATCTGGGTAACCTACAGGGAATTTTGAACAGAACCCTTTATTTAATCTATGGGGTCAGATTGTTCTCGTTATACTGTTCATGTCAACAGATATTGTCTCGTTCATATTTAGTACTGTTCAGTTGTTGCTTGCCTGTTTCCACTTAGTGCAAGTACACACTGCCTGACTCACAGATTGAATTCACAACCACTACGTCACCACATTCCCAAACAAACTATTTTAACCATTGGGCCATTGTCTCGTAGTTCAGTTCGGAAATCCCTGTAGGTTACACAGATTGATATATGCTTAAATAATGATCTGCTGCCCCAATACATATATATATATATATATATATATATATATATATATATATATATATATATATATATATATATATCTGAGGAAGGCCGAACGACCGAAACCTTGTGATAAAAACAACAAAGATGAGGACAATAGACCAAAATAAATAGAATGAAATGAGTAAATGAGTAAATGTAATAACAATCAACCATCATATTTATGGAAGGTAACCTTTTTTAAAGGTAAGCAATCTTTTCAATTCTAATCAAGTTTGTTTAAGACTGGACGTAATCCCTCCAAAACTCAGAGTAGAGACAAGATAAGTGATACCCTTAAATATATATATATATATATATATATATATATATATATATATATATATATATATATATATCAAATATGTGTGCAATTCAATTTATATTACAATAAATCATTCATACAAAAAGTATATATAAACATACGAAGTGTAGAACGGCTCATGATCAAATTTAATAATTTAATAGACATTCATTGTCTGTTATATTTAACAATATATGTTTAAATAATGATCTGCTGCCCCAATACACTATATATATATATATATATAATTATAACATAAGCATGTTATAACATCACTAGAAAAGTAGCCATCAAAGTAGTTATCAAGTGATGGTGTTGATTGCGAAATAAAGGGCTTAAAAAGATTCTTAATTTGCGAATAAAGAATATTTTTTATACTTTATATTGAGCAGTTTCTTTTAAAATAGTGTTTTTGGTTATCTGAATTTTATTCCATCTATACCAATCCTGTACTCGTGTATATATATATATATATATATATATATATATATATATATATATATATATATAAATATAAATATATCAGATAAATCTACGCGGATCGTCAGGGAATACTGGCTCTTTAGGTCTAATTAAGTTTGCTCTACTTAACGTATTGAGTATTTTACTTAGTTATTTGACTTACTCGTATCGGTTTTTTATCTTTGGACTCTGAACTTGGATGCTAGACGATTGTCTTCGGCTGACGTACATGTTCTCTGTTCTTTCTTTTTTTTGTACCGTTTTATTACCCTTGGGTATTGGTCTTTTTATTTACATATCAAAGTCCCCAAAGTCCGGAAAATCCTTGTTGAAAACACAACTATACTTAAACATGAAAACAATAAACAAAAAATAAATATTCTTGAAATTATATCCATAAAGCAGCTGAAACCTAGCTTGAACAAAATAAACTACGAAATCTCCACAAATATTCTTTAATGCCTATAATTGATAAAAGAAGCGATTGGTTTATACCAACAGCTTCCCATACTTAACACTTCTCGTTTTCACTCTCATGTGGTCATGTGTGACGTCATGAGCTGCGGTGGGATTTTCGCTTCCAGCCTTTTATATACACGAGATTGTCGTTACTTGGAAATCTTCCATGTAAACAGGCGGATTTATGAAGCAGTCATAATATCTATCTCACGCACGGTGAACACTAGACCTGGCTTCTTTAATATTTCCCCTTTTCTAGCAAGATTAATGCTCGACAAACGTACATATAAGTTTTAGATCAAAATAAAATTCTTTTCCTTTTTCATTCAAAATACTCAAATTTTAGGAATACGTTTTCACAACATCGCCCACGTGACGACGACGTGATCATATTTAAACGGAACGCTGATCTTATAAAAGATTTCAGTTATCTGTTTGGATTGGTCTTGCTCTTATGTCCATCGTCTTTTTCATGTTGAATTGAATATGGTCTATGTTAATTATGTTTTATGAATATGTCCTGAAGATGGTCTATTAGACCGAAATGTCCGATGTTGACATTATATTAACATTAAAACAGCATAATTGCATATTAGGATTTTTTGTTTGTTTTTTCCGTATATTTTTCTTTTATACTGTCGGATCTATATCCATATATTTGCTTTTATATATATATATATATATATATATATATATATATATATATATATATATATATATATATATATACGTTAAATATGAAAAAATTTTCTGTAGTCATAAACCGAGTTTCACGCGATCTTCAAACGATTTGAACGATCGTCGTGAGCGTGAAACTCAGATTACGACTACAGCCATCCTTTCATAGGATTTAATTGTGTTAATCTTTTTTTTTTTTTGTTTGGTCTAGGCAATCTAGGATCGAGCACTTTTCTGAGTCGATAAGTTTGCCATTAGGCCTTTTTTCTCTTTCTTTCTACCGTATTGACCGTTCTATTCGAGATAAGAAAAGAAAGAGTTTTTGGATTTTGGCAAGTAGTTCGTTCGTACATGGAGCAACAGTTTACTTCAGTTATACAAACTATTTTCTTTGATCCCCGTAAGAAGTGCTGATCTATACGTAAATAATCCTTTCATTTTTGACTGGTATTATGCTAATAATAACAATAGCAATAATAATGCTTTTTATATTTTGTTCACGAGCCATGAGATTTTTTTTTCTATAGCTTATGGCGAAAATTTCTTACAAGATTTGACGTCTTTCGGCAAGCATCTGCTTGTTTGCTTGATTCTCCCTCTCTCTCTCTCTCACTTTCTTGTCTGATACAAGTGCGAAGATTCTCAGTGACAAGGCTTTGTAATATTCGGAGTTGTAATTCT